CTCTCGAAAGTACTCTCAAACGAATATTTTGGGCAAATGATTGTGACTTAAATTTTATGGAATTCATCTGAGGGAAGAAATCAAGTAATGGCCTCAACAAACAAAAAACTCAAATCAGGCAAGCAGAGGTCACTACGAAAAAAAAAATCTCATATGTGACTTGGTTTACCCAAGCAAAATGCATCCCAAGAAACAAGGTGAAAGATGGCATCACCGGGTGTGGTGGCGCACGCCTGTGGTCCCAGCAGCGCCACTGGCTGAGGCAGGCTAAAGCAGGACAATCACAAGTTTGAGCCCAGCCTGGAAACCTAGCAATTTAGGGAGAGTCCCGGTCTCAAAATTTTAAAAAGGGGCTGGGAGTGTAGCTCAGTGCGAGGGGCTCTAGGTTCAATCCCCAGTTACAAATATAGATTACTGAAATTTACAAGTGTGAGAGAGGGGAAGAGAGGACCATACTAATTGAATTCTAGGCTATACAATGTTCCTTTTCTTCCTCCCTCCCTTCTCTCCTCTCCTTCCATTCTCCCTTGTCTCCTCCTTTCTCTCTCCCACTGATAGTGTGTTTATTGGAATCAGTTGAGTTTGAGCAAGGGAGCCAAAGTAAAGGAAGGTGTTTTACGGAAGAGACTTACGGGCAAGTTTGGCTGACCACAGCTAGGCTGAGGACAGATCATCTTATTCTGATCGTGGACTAAGATTGATTACTCAGAGATGGACTCGCGAAAGCTAGTTTGTTTGTTTGCCCTGACTCCTAGGTAAGGCATAGTCCTTCAAGGTCTCAATCAAAACTCTGAGGGTTTTATTAGCTCTCTCCTCTTTGGCAGGGTCTACTCAGCTCGAAGAGACAGCCAGAAGCTCTGCTCAGTTTTTTAGCCACCGCTTTTAGATTCAGCAGTCACCAAAGGTTGGGAAAAGTGATAGCAGACGTCAGGCTCCCTCCTCATGACTGTTGTTTATTTCCACGTCTTGCATCCACAAATTCTCATTGCATGTTGCTTCTGCATCCACTAATGTTTTTAATATTTTCTCCAGTTCTTAGTATGGAAGTGTTGGTCCAAAATAAATACAGTAGGCCATTTCTGGGAGGCCATAGCTAGGCTATGTTCAGCAAAATTAAAATGTTATTATACCATATGTGGTGTTCTATAAGTGGAATATACATTGAGAAATTTAAAATTGTATGGTTTTTGTTTTTGTTTTTACTTTTGTCTTTTTGAGACAGGGTCTCGCTATGCAGTTCAGGCTGGCCTTGACCTCACTTTGTAGCCCAGGCTGGTCTTGAACTCACAATGATCCTCCTGCCTCAGCCTCCCAAGCGTTGGGATTACAGACGTGCAACATGACGCCCGGTTTAAAATTGTAGAACAATATTTTTTCTATCACAATCAATGCTGCTGTACATATTCTTGTGCCTCTATACTGTGTACAGGAAAACTGCTATATCCTAGGACATTGCATCTTTAATGTCATTAGATGTGGTAGGCAGAATGCTGGAATACTCCCCATGATCTCTCCCTCTTGCAGTAACCCTTGTAAAATCCCCACACCTTGAAAATGGATGGGACCTCTGACTTATTTTAGCCCATAGAATATAGCATAGAAAATGGGATGTCACTTCCATGATGACATTTTATTATGTAAGTGTTTGTTTTAGAAGACTAGAGCTAGAGAGTCTTCTGCTGGCACTGAAGAAGCAAGCTCTTGTGTTTTTAAATGCCATGTGATAGGGTGGCAGGGAACTACAGATGGCTTCAAGGACCCTAGGTGAGGCCAGTAAGAAGCCAAGGTCCTCAGTCACACAACCACAAGGAGATGGATTCCACCACAGCCTGAGAGCATGGAAGAAAATTCGTCCACAATCAAGCCTCCAGATGAGAAGAAAGCCTGACTTATACTTCATTGCAGTTTTGTTAAACCCTCAACAGAGGAACCAGCTAAGCTGTGCATGAACTGTTGGCCCACAGAAACTGTGAGATAATCTATGTGCTTTAAGCACTTAGGCCTGTGATACTTTGTTACACAGCAATAGAAAACTAATACATTAGGTATTACTGGATTATTTTACAAAGTGTTGTACCAATTTTTATGCTCCACAATGTATAAGATTCTTTTTATGTATCTTGCTAATATTTGGTTTGTCTGGTTTTTCTTTTGTTTGTTTTTTTGTTTTTTTCTGGTACCAGAGATTGAAATCATGACCTTGCGCTTGCCAGGCAGGCACTGTGCTGCTGAGCTCAAAATCCCCAGCCCCACTTGCTAACATTTGGAAATGTCTGATTTTTTAATTTTTTCCCCAATAGTTATGGAAATAAATAAAAATAATATAAATTGTGTACACGTTAATTTTTGTGTGTGTGTCTTTTTAGAACAGGGTTTCCCTATGCAGTTCAGGCTGTCCTTGAGCTCATTTTGTAGGCCTGGCTGGTGCAACGATCCTCCTACCTCAGCCTTCTGAGTGCTAGGATTATAGGCATGTGCCATCACACTCGGCTTTGTACATGTTAATTCTTGAACATAAAGATATGAAGAATATTTACTTGAAATTAAGTATTCTGTTGTATTTCTTTTCTGCTACATATATGCTATTGATGAAACAGTAGCAGTAAGACTAATTAAATGTAATAACTGGTAATAACTAATAGAAGTGCCAATTAAGCAAACAAAAGATTGAGAAAAATATGACAATTTAAAAATGTTTCTACCCTCTGTAAAGCAATTTATTTTAATTTTTATGACATTTAAATTTTATAGGCTATATTCTACATTCTTCAGACACATAAATATAAGAATTGTTAAAAGAATGTAAGTACAACTAAGTAAATAGATATTACCTATATTGAATTAAAAATAATGACTTGGTTTTTATGATATGGTGGGATATTTTATTCTCTGTTTTCTTTTCCATTAATACTGCTTTGAATTGCCTGCAGCCTTTTGGACCTCTTCATTTTTTCATTATGTAATGATAAAACAATACAGTCAAACATAAAATTAATTTTGACTTGTAACTCTGCTCTTCTAACTGATTCCTGTTGTCAATGCAAAATAACGACATCCAGCTAGATTTTCTCTCACCAAAGTGTTTGATCATAGAATGCTGAGAATTTTGTTAACTAGCACAGCAGGTTTTTAAGCTCATAAGAATTCATTTCCAGCTCTCCAAAATGTCCACCCACTTTGTATGTACAGTTTTGTCAATCAGGTCCTCAGTATCTTTAAATTAACCATCCAGGTGCTCTGTATCTATTAAACCTCTTTTCTGCAGGGAAAATAGTTTTAAAGCACAGATGGAATCTGAAATCATAAAATTGGAGTTAGATCTTAAATAAGTTTCCAGTTTGAATAAAGAAATTTAGAAAGTTCTATTCAACTTGGTTGTCTTTTTGTGGGAACTATTTTTCAGTTGAGAAACCATCTTATCCCTGCCATATTAGTCTACCTGCTGCCCTCCCGCCCTCCTTTCTTTCTTCCTTTCTTCAGTATTAGGGATTGAGCACAGGCAGCACTGAGCTATGTCCTCAGTCCGTTTGCACTATTATTTTTATTTTTGAGACAGGGTCTCACTAAGTTTCTGAGTTAGCTTCAAATTTGCAATCCTCTTGTTTCAGCCTTCTGAGTAATTGGGATTACAGGCATGGACTACTGCTCAGTTCAGTCTTTTTTTTCTGCTGGAATTTTTGTTGCTCCTACAATAACTTTGAACAACTCAAGTTTTCATCCTTTTGTGTGCTACTTATTGCCACTTCAAAGATTCCATTCTTAGGCCAGGCTTGGTGGTGCACACCTGTAATCCCAGCACTCCAGAGGATAAGGCAGGAGGGTTGCCTTGAGTTCAAGGCCAACCTGGGCTACATAGTTCAAGGTCAGCCTGAACTACATAGTGACACCCTGTCTCAAACAAATAAATAAACAAAAAGATTCCATCCTCTTGCTCTCAATTTTGCACCATGGACCTCATGTGTATGCACATGCCTCAAACCCCCATTACTGCAAAAAAATCATCCCTCAGTTTATGTGTGTGTGTGTGCACATGCGGGTGTGTGGTGCTGGAGATTGATCTTGGGGCCTCATGCATACTGAGCAAGTGCTATACCTCTGAGCTACATTCCCAGCCCCCTTGGTCATTCTTAATGCAGACTATGGCATAATTCAGGAGAGACTCAAGAAATGTGGTGGTCCTGGGTACCTACTGGGTGGCTTTTAGGTGAAGAGTGTAGGATCTAATGTCTTGGTTGTGTGGACTTATCACCTGATTGTGAGGGATACAGCCAGAGGAGGGTTGGAATGCATAGGTCCCAGGTGAAGCCTGGGACCAAGGTAGAGTCCCCTGTTGTTCAGCTCCCAGGGCAACACCCTATGAGAGAATAAGCAAGCTTCTTTCAAAGAGAATGCAAGAAAAGGTAAGATAAGGAAAAAGAAGATGCTTTATGTTCAAGAGGTTGAGGGTATGAGGTCAGGAGAGTTTGGAAGTACAGGAAATAGGATTTGAAAGTCAGGTGCATCGTGAAATTAGCTGGCCTCTGCATTACAAATAGAACTTTGGAATCAAATTTGAGCCAAAGCACCCTTTATCAGAGCTGTTTTCTTTGCCTAACACTTCCAATGATCTCAGCTTGAATTTCAGTTTCTTTTGGAGGCCTCTTTCCAATCCCTGATTAAATTATCCTTCTCCCCCTTTCATTTTTCCCAAAGAATCTGTAATTCTCCTTTTGTTATACCTAATCATACCTGTTAAGGTGCCTGTGTCTGCCTTTCTGATTATTCAAGCTAAATGCTCTGTAGTGATATTGGCCTTATCTGGTATCATATCCCTAGTACCCAGAAAGTACTAGGGATATGACTAAAAGGTTTCTCATGATCAACAAATATTTGATGAATTACTATCTTGGCTTGACGGCGCCTGAGCAGCATTGCTTAATATGGCTGCATCTAAACTGAATAGTGGCCTTTTGATGTCCTTCTGCTTCCGATTCTTTCATTTAGCATATAATTTCTTGGAACCAGGTACTCAAAGGTAATTTATTTTGATATTTAAAGCACTTTATAAAATTCTCTAGAAAATCTAAAACACATTCTGCTGTCATAATATTATATATCATCATAATTTTAGAAAATAAATGATGTGGATTATATTCTGGAAAAATTTCATTACATGTAAAATTTTTGCTGTTACATATAGTAAAAGAGATGAAAGAATAATGACAAGGAAAAGGAACAGTCTGTTGGTGTCTGTCCACCCTAGACCCAAGAAATAAAGACAAAGGTGAAGGCACTAAGATCCTACAAATGGCTGGTCCTTCCAATAACCCAGCTAATCTAAACAGACAACCTATCTGCTGTATTCAAACCACTGTTTGAGTCATTGGTGATTATGACTTAGTTGTTTTCCCCACAGCAAGACCAAATGATATCAGGATTAGTCAACAGAACTGCCTCCTGGGAATTTCAAAAGGCTGCTGTTAAATGCTCCTGGTTCTGATGAATACTCCTTTGACCATACAGGATCCTGGGTGCACGTCCACAAATACTGAGGCATAGCCTGTGTGCTACTAAAAATAACAAAGGTTTCAGGGCTGGACATATTGTCAACCACACTGTCATAAGCACCTATGGCTCCTGGACTCAGTGGTGGAGGGACAATATGTAATGGATGACCCTGGCAGAAGGAGCCTACAAGTACTTCAGCCTCAAACACATAGATCAGCTTATCGGTGGCAGAGGTTTTCTTGGCCTTGTCTGCTAGCTTTTTGAGGTTCCTGGTGAAGTATATTCCAGCTCCATATTTTGGGTCTAATAAAAGAAAAAAAAAAGATTATTATTGTCTGACCAACAATATTGCCTATTTGGGTACTGTTACAGCTTGTATATGGATTTTCCCCAAAAGCCTCATGCAGTCGTAGGTGGAAACTTTCAAAGGTGGCTGGATTAGGCTGTATGTATATAGATTAAGGCTGTGATACTGGGACTAAGGGTGTGGATAATGGAAACCCCACCCTGGGAATGGGGATCACCAATCAATAGGCCTGCAGCCTAGATGGGACTATAAAGGGACAGAAAGAAGGTATGTTTGCTGCTTGCTGCTTCACTGTCTCTGGCCTGCTTGCCATGGACCTCTGTGATGCCCCTCTGCCATGCCACCTTGCCTTAGAGCCACCTGACCATGGGCTGAAACCTCTACAACTATGAGATGAAATAAGCCTTTCCTCCTTCAACTTTGGGTGTCCAATATTCCATCTCAGCAATGAGAAAAGTAACTAAGACAGAAACTAATATGTATTGTATGCTCTAATTCTCCAAATAATCCCTTCCTCTTATCTCAAGTCCCTGTGCCTGTAGTCATGGCACCTAAAGTTTCTCCCTTGAAATAAACTGTTACTGACACCTGCAACATAATAGCTTATATCTGAGTATTCCATTAGAGTTACAGAGAAGTCTCTGGCTTTCAAAGCATTTTTACATTGATTAGATATAATATGTGACTTGGATAGTATCCCCTTAAAAGATGAAAAATCTGAGATTCAGAGAAATTAGGATTCAAGTCAACATTAGCCATGCATGTGAAAAATAGCATAATGGAAGTAACGTTTCATTACCATTAGAACACTATCTGACTTCTACAAGGTGTATGTCTATACCTTTTTTTCCTGCAGTGCTGAGGATTGAATCCAGAGCCTCATATACACTAGGCAAGAGTTTTACCACTGAAGTACATCCCTAACCCATCTCTACAACTCTTGAGAAGACAGTTTGAAAACAACATTTAATAAGAGGAGGTAGAATCATAGGCAGCAATACAAGAAAAATATGTCAAAGTAAAGGAAATGTTGAGCATGCACACTTCATTCTAGGTCATCAGTTTTGGCCCTGGCCTGCCATAGTACCCCACAAAGAACTCTGCACATGCTTTTGATCTGGTTTCATGGTCACCAGGCAATTCCCGCCCATCAGATATTCTGGAAACAGTGATATTAGAAAGGATATACTCAAATCCAATCACTGGAAATGAAAATTCTCTACTAGGGTATACTGCCTGTGATCTCTGTCTTCTTTCTTGGAGTGTTAAGACATTCAAGAAGCTAAGGACCAAACGGGCTTCAAGGTAACCCCTGTTCATTACCACGTCTAACATCACTTATTACAGAACACTTGCTTAGCATACACAAGGCTCTGGGTTCAACCCCCAGCACTGTAAACAATGACCTCAGAGACAGAAAAAAATGAAAACTTCTTTGGGGCTATAGTTTCATTCTTTTTCTCTTTCCTTCCCTCTCTTACTCTATTTCTACACTTAACGATCCTGTTTTAGGCTACAAAACAGCACTAATAAGTAGAAATGCAATATAAGCCACATAAGTAAGCTAAAACTTTTTAGTAGCCACATTTAAAAAGAGAAAAAGAAATAGAAAAAAATATTTTTTTATTTAGCCCATAAGCATCTAAATGTTCTCACAGCTCAACATTTGCTCAATATAAAATATTATTACAGAAATATTTTACATTCTTTTGTAGTAGGTCTGGAATATAGTATGAATTTTTATATGTACTGTACATCTCAATTTAGATTAGTTGGGGCCAGGGATTTATCTCAGTGGCATATCGCCTTCCTGGCAAGTGTGAGGTCCTGAGTTCAATTCCCGGTATCCCCTCAAAAAACTGAAACCAACTAAACAAAAAGATTCAATTTAGAGTAGTAGCCCCATGTGGCCATCAGTCGCCATATTGAACAGTGCCGATCTAGAGATTAAAAAATGACTGTTCTCAGACTTCTCAAAGGTATCCCCATGCATGGCAAGGTAACATTTTGAGATAAAAATAAAAGATTTTTCTTCCTCAAAAGTTTCTTCTTCTTGAACTTTATTCCTCCTTCCTTCCTTCCATTGAGTTCCTGTTTCTTATTACCTCCAGGGCAAAAAAGACAAGTTTAGCTGGCCTGGTGATGCACGCTTGTAATCCCAGCACTCTGGGAGGCTGAGGTAAGAGGATTACAGTGAGTTCAAGGTCAGCCTGGGCTACATAGGTTGCATTGCTTTTGGTTTGTTTTTTTGAGACAGGGCCTCACAATATGGTTGAGGCTGGCCTGGAACTCTCTGCAATATGCCTGCCTCAGCTTCCTGAGTGCTAGGATTACAAGTGTGCACCACCATACCCCGCTGCCTGGGCTACATAGGGAGTTCAAGGCTAGCCTGAACTACATATCAAGACTCTATCTCCAAAACAAAACAAAACAAGTATAGAACAAAGCCTATACATATATGTATACATATATAAAAACATGCCTATATATTCATATATATATGTGTGTGTGTGTGTATATATATATGATTTTTAAATATATACTGGGAATTAAACTCAGGGCCTTCACACCAAGCTACATCTTTCTCATGTTTTATTTTGAGACAGGATAAATTGCCTAGGCTGAGCTCATACTTGTGATTCTTCCTGCCTCATCATCCTAGAGATCTGGAATTTACAGAGGTGCACTCTCATACCTGTTGTGATATGTAATTATTTTTGACTCACAGAAAAGAATATGGTTTTGAAATTCTGGCTTTCAGAGTTGTTTTCTCGGAAGAAAAGGGTTTTTTGAACCAAAGGCAAAACACCCTGAAGGATTCATGGTTACACATTTTTGGTTTTGCTTCTTTTTTTTCAGTTTTTTAGCCATGTATTCCAGGATGGCTTTAAACTCACTATGTTGCCAAGGCTGGCTTCAAACTAACAGCAGTCCTCTGCCTAAGCCTCCTGAGTGCTGGGATTACAGGATGTGCCACCACACCCAGAATAAACCTGAAGGATTGAGAGTATGGAGTTTAACAATGAACAACAGAGGAAAGAATGATACAAAATACTCTAGAGCGGTTTTCTCACTTCAAGACAAATAAAAGCTCTCTCTAGCTAATGGAAAGAAGAATCAGAGAAGAAGTAACAGATGTGGAGAACTTTGAGAAGGGGCTTGCTTAACTGCTCCACTGCCTCAGAAGGACCCTGGGAGTCAGGATATGCAGAACAGAAATCTTACACCTGGAGGAATACCCAGGGCCGAAGGGACCATTGCCTGACTCTTCCAGGTGCAATCTCTCACCCAGCCTGGTGCTCAGTGGAAAGTAGCAGTGCTAGGGAAGGCTCCAGAACAGGTAATGATAAATCTGATAGTAAAATACAGATTGTATGGGGTATGTTTTGAGGCAAGGAAAGGACCCAGTAATAGTTGAGGCCCAAGGGAAGATAAACGAAAGCAGTATGAAGAAAGCGAGGAATGCTTGTGTCTGCAGCACATATACTGAAACTGAACAAATCTGTGCTGATCTTTACAATACTGAGTAACTAGATCCAGGTAACTCCATGGACTTAAGGGTGAAGCAGCTGACTATAGTGACCGATTCCCATATTCCCAGCCCTCTGTGTGGCTGAGGCATGAGCATTGCAAGTTTGGGCCCATTCTTGGCAAGTTAGTGAGACCCTATCTGAAAAAAAAAAAAAAAAGGCAAAGGGTAGAATGAATGATGATAATAGTTTAGCCTTGGGAAACCAGGTAGGTAGATGGTAATGATATTAGCCATATTAGAAAACAAAGAATGTATTTCTTAGGGAAAAGCATGCCCAAGAAGAGACCTCAGTGTGAGGTGCCTGCGGTACATCTAGGTAAAGATGTCCCAAAGACAAAGTACGATATATGGCCCTGCACATTAGGAAAGAAGTAGGGGTTTAGAGTAAGGAATTTTTAAGTTGTCACCCTCAGAAGAATTATGGCCATGGGAATATATATAATCACCCAGGGGGACAGTGTGGAGGAAAAAGAAAGTAGATTTCCTTTGGAACTCAGGAAAGCACCACCTTTAAAGCATGGGTAACAGATGGATGCACAAGATTTTAAATGATAAAGGTAAGGACTCTGTGGTTTATATTTATTGATGTATTTTTTGCACCTCTAGCATAAAGCCTGACTTATAGTATGTGCTTAATATATAATTGTGGGGAACTTCCAAGAGAATGATGGAGAGTAAGCAACAACTCAGCCTCTTCAAGATTCGCAATCCAGACACAGGAAAAAAACAACTTGGGGGAGGAAAAAAAAAGACACACAGAGAGAAGTAGGTCCCTGGGAACTAGGAGGAATCTGACAGAGAAACTAAAACCTACAGAGAAACTGGAGAGGCAGAACACAACATGGAGAAGGCAAGGGACAGTCTGCACTTTCTTCCCAGCCCCTGGCTTATGGCTCACATGAGTCCAAATCTACAGAGACAAAGGAAAGATGGGCACTCCAGGAGGCTTTGGGGAGAAAGGCAGTGGAGGAGTGGACAAACAGGTGCTGTGAGCTGCAGGGAGAGCACAGGACTCTGCCTTCACATGAGTCCTTCAACAGGCAACAGCGGGTGACTCCAGTCCAAGTGCCTGCCACATCCCCTGGAGAGAGTGGTCTGAAGCCATTCTGGGGAAGGGTTGATTGTTTGAACTGGGGACTCACACAGCCATAGCACAGCTTCAATTCAGGGCTACCAGTGTTACGCTCCCACGTAACTGTGTAAGAGACAGCCACGGTAGACAGCTGTGGTTAGGAAGCCACAGTCAGTCTGCAAAGAGAACCCCTGCGGGGTTTGAACTAAAGGACACAGGCTTTGCTCCCGTGGCCAGAGGCCAGGCTCAGCCTGAATTGCCCTGGATTTGATGGTCACAAGCCCTGTCCTGATCCTACTGCCTGCTGGTGCCTGCATCCAGCACAGACCTGGAGTAGGCCTGCCTTCTTTATCTACCAGTATGAGCAGGAGCACGTCCAGATTTGGACACTA